AAGAGTATAATAGGTTGATAAGCACCGGAGCCCACAGCCAGACATCCCGGGTGAAAACCTCGCTTCTGTCACACGCTGACGAATTACTTAATGTTTTTGACTCAGTCTCTCCTCCATAAAATGGGGAATAGTTTACCTCAGCAGGTTGTGGAAAGGACTGCAGTATATGGATATTTATATATGTATCACCCATTTTTTTCCCTCATTCTCATCAAACAAGGGCTAGATATATTATGTCAGAGACTCCTGGGAAGGCTTTTAAAGCTCTGAAAATCCTCCTTCACCCCTTGAGGGCTTTGTCCCTCCAGCATCTGAAGTTTAATTCCAGATTTTACTGCTGCAGAAGGGAAGAGGTTACTTGTCTAATGATGATCGGCGATTATCTCACTCTCTGGGAGAGATCAAACCCTGTCCTGGTTTGAAAGGAGGAGAAAAGGAAATAAGAAGGTGCTAAGTGCTGTGAAGCAAGAGATGCGGAAGCACGGTGCAGGAAGAGGAGAAAGGGGCCAAGACGGAGTTGCTCAGAGGCCTGAGAGCGGCTTTCCTCAACGGCGCAGATTCGCTTCTCTGGTGTCGCTAACTGTGCCCCCTCCCCTCTGTCGTCAGAAACCCCCACGCCTCTCCCTGCCCTTCTCCTCTCCACCCCCCGCCAGCTCCAGACCGTCCTGACCCCCAAGAGGCCCCTTCAGAGCTGGGGGAGAGAAGGAGGTGGGATGAGGCAGGATTTCAGGTCATCTATGCCCACCATCTCCAGCACTGGCCCTGCTGTGATGACCAGATTTTCACAAATAAGCCTGGGACACACTTCAAACCAGGGCTCAGACTGACACCCATGCTGCATCCTCCCAGCTTGGTGCAGAGTGGCAGGGTGAATGGAAGATGCCAGGGGAAGCGTGTAAGGAAGGGGGCTCCCAGGCCCAGTGGAAAAGGGGCCTTTCCTCACGCGGAGATGTGATTCCTGCTCTTGGCAGCTCCAAGGCATTAAGAGTTCTGTCGATGGCACATTTTATTTTTTTTAATCAGTTTGATTGGAGTATAGTTGTTCTACGACGTTGTGTCTGTCTCCACTATTACAGCAAAGTGAATCCGCCCCGTACACACCTATCCCCCGTCCCTCCTGGACTGCTTCCCGTCCACACCACCGCAGAGCATTAAGTAGAGTCCCCTGGGCTATGCAGGAGGTTCTCATCCGTGGTCTACTTTATGCAGAGAATCAACAGTGTACTTTACACATGGAACCAAATCTGTGTATTTTACACATGGATCAGATGTGTCCATCTCAGCCTCCCAAGTCATCCCCCGCTTCCCCCTTGGTGTCTATACAGCTGTTCCCTCCATCTGTGTCACGACTTCTGCTTTGCAGATAGGATCACCTACACCATTTTTCTAGATTACACGTATCTGTGTTAATATATGACATTTGCTTTTCTCTTTCTGACTTAACTTTCACTCCATATGGCACTCTCTAGATGCCTCCAGTACGATTCACAATAGCCAGGACGTGGAAGCAACCTAAATGTTCATCAGCAGAGGAGTGGGTAAAGAAGATGTGCAATATGTATTCAATGGGATATTAAAAAGGAACAAAATCAGGGCATTTGTAGAGATACGGCACGTTTCACCAACAAGGAATTAGTACAGAGGCCCGGGTGGGCGGACCTCAAAGCCCCGATTTTTCATACCCTTTGTTAGGTTCCTTCTTCTCCTCTAGCTTATATTTCTTTTCTCCACCTCGAGAAGAAAAAGGCCCTGGGTTGCACAAGGGAGTTGAATTTTGGGAGGGGATATATCTTTACAAAAGTAATGGGGTAAAAAATGAAATAGTCTGTTCGTAGGAAAATAGAAAATAGCAAAAAAAAAAAGCAAGACATCCCCATAATGGCCTAACCCAACAAGTTCCCTTCTCAGGGGTAGTCTTGTTGAACAGCCTTGTGAATATTCTTTCAGAAGCTCTGTAGGTACATGTAAGCACTTGAGAAGAAATACAGCAATGTTTTATGGATAAAGTAAATGTATGTTATGCTTATGACTCTGTGACTCCATATTCTGCTCAGTGGTAGATCATGGATACATTTGTTTCCTAGGGTGGTTGTAACAAAGTATTAAAAAGTGGGTGGATGATACACCTTAAACTTATAAAAAAAAATTTTTAAAAACCCCTAAACTTATAAAAGTGAAAGTGAAGTCACTCAGTCCTATCTGACTCTTTGCAACCCCGTGGATTACGGTAGCCTGCCAGGTTCCTCCATCAATGGGATTCTCCAGGCAAGAATAATGGAGTAGGTTGCCATTTCCTTCTCCAAACTCATAGAGCGCTGTAGGTCAATTACATATTTATGAAACAAGAAGAAAATGAATTAAAAATAACCAAAATTTTATTTGGAAAAAAAATAAAAATAACTTTACTGAATATTCTTGGAATTTTTACTAAACACACTGCAAATGTAAGGGAGAAGAATGTATCCCTTGACTCCATTTCACCATTGGTCAAGAGAGGCCCCATGAATATCCCCTGTAATTCCAGGTTGGGCCTGTATGTGTGCAAAACACATTCTTATCTACATTCTGCATGATGCTCCCCAGCAAAAAGGAACAGACAAGTGGTAAGGACCAAAAACAACAGCTGTCTGATCTCACCTGCATGAGGCTGGTCAACTTACATTGCACGCAGCCAGTTTTTACAGAAAGCCCTTGAACAGTGCCATCTCATAGTGCTTTCCACAATGAGAGAAATGGTCTATATCTTTACAGTCCAGTGTGGGAGTCGCTAATCCTTATATGACTCTGGACTGTTAAAATGTGGCTTATGCAACTCAGGAACTGAACTGTTAATATTTGGTTAACTTCAATCAATTTAAATTTAAATATACAGAGCCACATATGCCTTGTGGCTACTTACAGGATGGCATTGGACTGGAATAAAATGTGGATGAAGAAGATTCTGAAATGATGCCTAAGTGGTGCCAGCATGTCTTTTGTCATGTACCAAGCACCATGAAAAGTTAGAATTTTTCTATGATATACTAAGATCCTTACATATGTTATGCCATTTAACTCTCATGCCAACACTATGTCATAGACATTGCTATTCATGTTTTATAGCTGAAGTGACTAAAACTTAGAAAATGACTAAAGCTAAGTAACTTTCCTGTATTTCCATAGCTAATAATTGTCTGGGGCCAGAATTTAAAGCCAGGCAATATAATTCCACAGGGTGTACTTTTAATCATTATACTATAAGATCCCTTTTGCACCAAATTCCCATATATATATATGAGTCTGTATCTGGATTTTATTTTTCCTATTGTGTACCCGTACCACACCTTTTAAATACCGCAGCTCTAGAGTGTGTTTTGACCCCTGGTAGCTTTTTAACACTCTATCATGAAACATTTTAAAATATGTTGGTCATAGCTAACTACCTTCTTTATGTGAGCCACAAGTAGTTAGAGAGGCAAAGGGTGACTAATACGCTTTGCAAGTGAAAGTGTTAGTTGCTCAGCTGTGTCTGCCTCTGTGACCCCATGGACATGCCAGGGTTCTCTGTCCAAGGAATTCTCCAGGCAAGAATATTGGAGTGGGTTGCCTTTCCCTTCTCCAGGGGATCTTCCTGACCCAGGGATTGAAGCCAGGTATCGTACATTGCAGGGAGATGCTTTAACATCTGAGTCACCAGGGAAGCCCAAGATACTTTGCTTTGGGCTTTAAGTAATCAAAAACTCCACTAAAAACAGGTATTTATTATCCAATATGTTAAGAAATCCATAGGCAGATATTTCCAGAATTAGCTAATAAAGTTGCTCAAAGACTTAAGTTTTCAAGTTCAGTTATCTTCTATTTTTCCAGATTATTGGCATTTTCTCTAAAGCGTGTCTGTCCATGGTCCAAGATGAGTATAATACTTTATTTTATTTTTAATTGGAGGATGATTGCTTTACATATACACAATGGAATATAACTCAGCATGAAAAGAAACACATTTGAATCAGTTCTAATAAGATGGATGAACCTAGAGCCTATTTCACTGAGTGAAGTAAGTGAAGTAAGTCAGAATGAGAAATATATATATATATATATATATATAACAAATATACTATAATACCACTTATATGTGGAACCTAGGAAGATGGTGCAGTAGAAATAGAGTCACAGATGCAGAAATCACACTTATGGTTACCAAGGGGAGAGAGGGCGGCGGGATGTTTTGGGAGACTGGTACTGGCATATATACCCTGGTGTGTATGAACCAGGTAACTAAAGAGAACCTCTGTGCAGCACAGAGAACTCTAGTCCATGCATGTGTGACCTAAAGGGGAAGGGCCTCTAGACAAGAGTGCGTATATGTGTATGTATAACTGACTCACCTGGTTGTTCAGCAGAAGTTAACACACCTGTGTAAAGCAGCTATACGCCAATTAAAAAAAAAACTCAGAGAAACAAAAACACCCAGTATGCACCACCTGTAGTTACTGTTAACAATCAGGCCTTGTACCTTTCCATCCTTTTGTAGTGCATACTTATATATGCTTTTTTAAATGAAAAAGTATTATATCTTACATTTTCATAGCCTCCTTTTTAAAAAAAATTTAAAGATAGATAAGGGGCATTTCCACTATCAATAAATAGTTCATAGCTTGATTTTTTTTAAGTCTAATATTATTTTTAAAAAGTATGCTTAACCTAATCAATTCCCTATGGCTCAACATGTAGGCTTCTGATTAATATTTTAATATTTTAGAGACATATCTTTATGCATTCCCAAAGGTAGGAAAATGCAGTCAAAGATATGCACCTTATTAAGGTTGTTAGTACAGTTTGCCAAACCGCCCTCCAGAAAGCTTATATCAATTTACACAGCCCTTAGCTGTGTATGAGCTCCCCTCACCCCCACTGCCTTACCCACACTAGGGGCTATGATTCATCATAATCTCAGCCAAAGGCAGCTTTTGTAAAAGCCAAGTTTACCTTTGTGACTGCATTTTATTCGTAACCCTCTGCAGCTCCCAGGAATTCCTGCTTTGGCCAAGGTTGTGAGAGGGGTTTCTGGCCTCACTCGCTGCGCTGACATTGATTCAACAGAAGCCAGAGCTAACGGATGTGATCGCTGGGGAGACCTGCTAGCAACTGACCAGGTAGAGGGTTTGGGGGAAACAGCAGTTTCTCCAAAGTGCCTCGGACATTCTGGAGTGAGGCGATCCCTACTTTAATTGCCATCACCTTCCTCTCCTGCAGGTTATTTCCCTGCTGGCCTCAGACTTCCCCAGGGAAGGGCTCATTTGCATTTCCTTATGCAGTTCGTGCTAGTGGACACACAGAGGTGAATCTGAGAGCGAATTTAACAAACTGGTGGGAGAGTCTACTCCGGACTCTTCTGGAGCAGCCTGGTAGACTAGGGCATTTTATTCGCTGCTAAATCCTGAGCAAACAACAGGGTGCTATATTTCTTTCCATGCAAGCTTTAATAACCCAACCCAGTCATAATGAATTCTGGGGCAGAGTGAATGTAAAAGAGTAATGGTGATTAGGTAATTATCAAGTACAGAGAGTATTTAACCTTCCCAGTGACAGGACTGCCTAAGACTAGCTGATATCGTGTATGCACTCTGGAAATAATTAATAATTTTAAAATTATCCAATCTCTACTATTAATCAAGAAATAAGGATCCAGGAGCAGCGTCAATCAAGCTGAGTTTTTTCTCCATTTAACGTCAACCAATGTGCTGCTTCTCTCTGGTATCTTTGAATGTGTTGGCCTTTCTGATTTTTATTTTAGGCTGGCCGGACTTAAGCTGTTGCAAGTCTCTCAGAATATCTCAACAAGCTGAGACACATCACCCTCTAAAATTATCCACCCCAAGCAAAATGCCAGGGAATAACCTTTGGCCTCTGCCTTTTTTAATTGCAGCTCAGGCCATTTTTAAGCCACACGCTGTGACAGCCCCGTGTTCTGCTCCCCTTCACCCATTCTCCACCCCACCCCCACCCTTCTTGGGCGGTCTACTCCAAAGAGATTGTGTTTGTGTGTGTGTGTGTGTGTGTGTGTGTGTGTGTGTTGTATAATGTATGATAGTCTAGGGGAAAAAAAAGTGTGCCTTCTCCCTAACATACAATTTAATTCCACAATAAAGGCAGCTACACTTAGATGGGTCTTATGAGCCCAAATATACATGAATGCCTGTGTGCACCCACAAATACACACACATGCAAATATTACCTGGTAAGTAGAACAATTTATTATGCCAAGTAACAGCACATGTACTACAGGAAGATTCAGAGTAGAATAAACTAGAAGGGATTATAAATCTCTCCAAACCCCTTACAGAGAAGACAATAGAGACTTTAAGAAAAGCAGTGACTCTTTCAAGATCATACAACTAAAAACAAAAAAAGAAAAATAATTAAAATACAACTTTCTGACTCCTGATCCTAGAACTCTTTCCTAAATGGAACTGAGTCTAAGGCCAGGATATTTAAATAATGCAGGGAATCTAAGTACCAAAACATTTGTTTCTGTGCATGTTGCTTCTTCCTCCTAGCATGCCCATCAGGCTTGGCTTTCGCCCTTGGACAACTGCCTCCTTCAGACGCGGATCAAGGAGTACCTTCTCCAGGAGACCTTCCCTGCTGAAGCATTCAGGGTCAAGGCCCTTTCTGCGAGCCCGCACAGTCATCTGTGTTTAATCTTAAGATAGCATTTTTTCAGAGGGTAGCCAGGGTTGGACTTCTGACCTTTTACATCTCCTGTGATTCTAAGATAAAGAGGTTGCATGTCATTCCCTGTTGCACCCTCAGCCACCAGCCGTGTGCAGAGTGCTCAAAGAGTTATCACCAAATTATGCAGATCTTCCAGATTTGGGAAGCCATGACAAGGTCAAGGGGACACATCTGCAGAAGAGCTCAGGCCAGATGACTGGTCAACAATCTGGGACAAGTAGACACATAAGAAAGTGAATGGAAGTCTCTGCCAAGAGGTGTTCCTGGCGGACAAGTCCAGCACAGGCTCAGACAGCCTTGCTGCTTCTTGGAGCAGAGATGTTCGTCGGGGAGAAGCCCACGATGAGCCAAGGGGCGACAGAAAGGGACTTCACTTTTGTTGCAAAACAGATAGAGGGCAGGAGGCCGCAGGGACCCCAAAAAGCAGCCCAGAATGGACAGCAGTCTGGATGTCCCCTTGGGATCTGCAGCTTGCTGCTCTGAAGGGGACAATTTTGGGGAGAGGTACACAGTCTGAATGTCTGCCTGTTGAGTACAAGGACTATTATTGCAGATACGGGCTGCATGTCTGGCAATGTAGCTGGAGGCTAGGGTGTTGAGAGTCTATGACATACACACAGTCCCTCCGGGCTGGACTCTCGGGAAACACAGATCATTGCATGGGCTTTTCTCATGCACCCCCCTCTTCCTCATTGGGCTAGGCTTGGGTCATTAGGCCTGGATCCTGGAGTGTCTTTATTCGCTGCAAGCATTTGCTGAGAACTGTCAGTGCCAGGCACTGGGCTGGGCACTCGATTCTATAGCTCAGTGTTTCCCAGTCTTCTGTGATCATGAGGATCACAATCATTTTTTTTTTTTTAATTACAGATTCCTGGACAGCCCTTCTATATCTACTGACTTAAACTCTAGGGGAGGGGCTTCAGAATAGGTATTTTTTCCAAGTAACCCAAGGAATACATACAATCCATCATTACTGGGAGACACCAATTGAGATGAAGATGGGCTGGCCAAAAAGTTCATTTGGGTTTTATCACCATTGCAGAAAAAACCAAATGAACTTTTTGGCCAACCCGATAATAGTGATAATAACTAAAATAAAACAAATAAATGATAATGACTTCTGCCACCAATGAGTACAGAGTTAGATGAGAAAAAGCATTCTTTTTAAAAATTTCTAAAGTCATTTATTTTTAATTTGGAGGATTAAGATTAGAATATTGTGTTAGTTTCTGCCAAACATCAACATGAATCAGCCATAGGTATACGTATGTCTTCTCCATCTTAAACCTACTTCTCACCTCCCACCCAATCCCACCCCTCTAGGTAGTCACAGAGCACCAGATTTGAGCTCCCTGCGTCATATAGCAAATTCCCACTGGTTATCTATTTCACATATGGTAGTATAGATGAAAAACATTCTTTAAAATAAGCATTCCTAACTCAAGAGACGGTCATCACTTTCTGAGAACACACATGAAAAAAACTAGAGTTTTGACTAGTCCATGACATTCATTTGTGTGATTTCAGTACAAGCATCTCTTGTAGGGACTGACTTGGAAATCTCCAAATGGGGACAGGTAACCAAGGAAAGGACTCCAGAGCAGCTACAGAAAATGTTGGCCCAACAGGAGGACCTTTGGCAGATCAAGGCTCAGGAAATGAAAATGTAAGCTTTTATAAACAGAAAAGAGTTTCTTTGGGTTCTGGGAAACATTTGCAGACAGTGTGGAGAATGAGTAAGAGCAAAATCAGTCACCCCAGCAGAAGCTTATGATAGATGAGACACTTAGTACACATTAGGGAGGCCAAAATTTTCCCCAGCTTCAGCCAGTAATGCAGAACTTGGAGTAGCTGGGCAGATAGTTCTCAGAAATTACTGGACAATCACAGTCCTCTTTGACTGTAAAATAAGCATTGCCACCACATGGGTGACCCGATGTCTGCTCTCTGCATCAGCCTCTCTGCCTCCTATCTACCATGACCCTCTTCCCTTAGAGGACTCCTCCCCTTTCCACCCATTGGGCTTGGCGTGCTTTCAAATGCTCTTGCTCTCCTCTGGAAGCTTATCACCAGCCCATGAGGCATTAATGCATGTACTGATGGTAAAGACGTAACAAAGTTATTTCCACATGGTGCCAGGATAATCAGAGCATTTGTTAGGGAGGAAGGAAAAAAAATCTGTCTGAATGGCATTTGGTAGCTACAAAGACTAGATAATGGACTGCATTTATCACTTTTCAGCGAGTACATTTTAGTGTTAAAAATTATTAAATATTGGGGATTACACGGTCCAGGGTTTTTGTTTCAGATTTGCTTGTTTGCTTGTTCGTTTTGTCTTGTTTGGCAATGGGGTCTATTTTTCCCATGAAATATTATGCAGAAGCCTGATATACCATGTATGCATGTCGAGCTGCTGTGGATAGACAGAAGCGGGTAAAGAAGCAGATTCCTGCTACCCCGCCCACTCGTGTTTTCCCTCGGGATCCCCTAATTCACCCTACAAGTGTCTGAGACCCTGAAAAAGTCTGTTTGCAGTCCTCCAACCCCCTTGTTCCACAAATAAGGAAACAGATCCAGAGATCAGAACGGGCGTGCAGAATTCTTGCCCAGGGCAGTGGAACTGGAAGCAGCGCTCCGGTCTCTTGAATTGCAATCCACTGCCCTTTGCCTCCACACCTAGAAGCCAGCCTTGGCCAGGGAGCCAATGCTCCTCAAGGGGTTCTCAGCATCCCCGGACAGTGGGGCGGGGTGGCAAGAGGAGGGAATCAAATGCTTCCTAAGCTATCTTTCTACTGCATGCTGCGCCCACTCACTGCTTTCCTTGTAGGCACTCTCCCATTTCTTTAAAATCCTCAGCTGGGTTAAGGTTAAAAGGATGAGTTAACCCCTCCCAGATTAGACAGCTATCCCAAAAGAAAATAAAATGGGCAAGTTGCGGTTTTCTTCTGAAGTCCACCATCAATGTCTGTGTACTCCAGACCCCACTGATCAAGGAGGCAGTCATTCACTAGCTCTGGGCATTGCTTTTTTTTTTTTCCCTTCTATCTCCCTCTCAATTACTGACCCAGTCCACATCTCTGCATTTGTATCTGTCACTGTTCCCCACTCTAAGAATATCAAATAATCTTAGCTTCTGTTCAGACTCGTTGCCCTGCCCTGGAGATTCTCTCCCTTTATAATCTGCCAATAAGGTATTAATACATTAGTTACCTCAGAGTGCACTCTATAATGAGAGCCGTGGACATTCATTTAGCTGAATTTGATGGCAACAACACATTGACATTGGTAAGGTTAATCATCTACCACTTTATTTCATTGAACGAGTTGAACAACACTGAACACATTGATCCACGAGGTCCTACAATTCGTCTTGGCTGTTACTTTAATGGTGCCATGGCATCAATGCCCTTTAAGTAATTGGCACCAGGAAGAGATGGACTTGGCCTTGTCACGTCAGATTAGAATTATGTTGAATTGTGAA